TGGACTCACATTTGTCTGCAATAATTGTTACGGGAAAAATAATACCAAGACACACGTGTTTTTTACATAGACACAACACGCTACAATGGTACTTTGAAGTGGATCAAAGTAGGCTACTTTTTCGCGAATTTTGAAAAGCTGGATATGTTTCGAACAAACTACATATAAACAAGAACGAAAACTCATGCCTAACCTGGTAAAATGAAGAGGGAAACTGTAACGTCAGGATAAATTCACAGCGCTTCGATACTAAATCAGCCTGGAAGAATGTAATGAAACACTCAACAAAAATTGCTTGTTAAATCAACTGGTAGGTTTTCTTTCACGAAAGACTATCAATAATTTATTATTTTCTATGGTGTGGTAGATTTAACATTCTAAGCGTTTTATCTTTATTTTATACTCAAGCCATTGCAATCGAAAATTACGATACATTAATGTTGCTGAAAATGCACCTCGAAAAACAAGGACATGCATATATCATGATTATGAATCCCGTAGCACATTAGACACGTTGGGACACTCCATGTACAGCAGCCGCAGCAGCAGTTTGTCTACAGCAGCCATAGCAGTAGTTTGTGTCTCTAGGGCAATATTGCATGACGGAGCCCCATCTCTTCAAGCGGGTTTTTTTGAAGAGGAAACTTTCCACTCACTACTAAAGATAGTTTTCGCCAACGCGTGCGTCATACTAGATCACAAGTTGTCCTTGTCTTAAATTGGTTACCCTATCAAGGCTAAATTGCTAATATGCCCTATTATTTCGTCGTTTTTAATGAAACATGTATTAAAGAGAGTTTACTACCCTCATATACAACTATATATATATATATATATATATATATATATATATATAATTGGCTTCGATTATCTCCTAATATGTATGTCTATTTTAATAATTGCAAGTTATCTCCCCTTTATGGGTTTCATGGATCAACGAGAGTTTCTTTATTTTTTTGTCTTTATTTATCCTATATATGCATGTGAATGTGCGGATAGGGTAACGGTTATCGGCGTGAAACGTGGAATCGATATGCCAAGTTAAAATTCTTCGTTAAAACTCTTGGAAACGCATGAATGCGTATGGATTAAACAAGAAGAAGATACTGGGTGGTTCTCTTCTCTTGGAGAAGGAAAAGTTTGAATTCAAGCACTAATAATAAGGCGGTTGTGGTAATGACAATTCCACCTCGTAAAATCTTTTACTTGTTATGGAAACCACAGTAGTAATGCTAGAGTCAGTGGCCCCTACGGGAGTCTACTGAAGTTAACGAAATACCGTAATTCCCTTTGGATAATACGCCTTTATCCATAATACGCAAACCTAAAATTGTGCTGAAAGTGTGGAAAAATGCTTCTACTCATGCATAATACGCACCCCTTATTTGGTAATCAAACCCTATATATTGTACCTCTCCAATTTTATTACGGCCAGCGTTTCCTACTTTTATTTAAAAAAATGGTTTTAAACACAGAATAATATTATTCTAATTTAGTTTTATGATAATTCTTATTTTATTTTACGGTAATTTTTCAAAGATTTTTTGTACATGTGCATAATGCACACCTCTGACTTTTCTTATCATTTTAAAGAAGAAAATGCGTATTATACATGGGGAATTACGATAATAGGGCATGTAACACCTATCCTTACCTCACTGGATCGATGTACTCTACAAGACCGGCCGTTGGTCCTGTCCTGATTCAGTATTATAGATTCAATCAAAGTCTCCTGTTCACAATGTCGATTCAAAAAAATCACAACGTGGCTTGAATGTGATTTCACTTTCCAGCCACCTTGTGATTTTTTTGATCCTGGAGAGCAAGTAACAAATCGTAGATCCCGGAAGATTCAGCTGGTCTACCTGCAAATCAAATATAAACAAGTCGATTCGAGTCCAAAGAAAAATTTATGTATATGTATATAAGGAAGAAATTGGTACAAAAAGAATAATGCTTCTTTTACAAGAAAGTAGTGTATATGAAATAAAGTCCAGAAAAAAATATTGCAAATAATTCTGAAAGAAAAGAAGTAGTTTTCTTAGTAGTTGTCGTAATTATTTCACTATCAGGATATAAGAACGTTTATTGGCAGTATTGCGCTAATATTGCAGATAACTTGAGTTTACTTCCTCCCTTATTACAGTAGCAAGCGGACATTTTCACTCTCACTGCCTATATATCTCTCTCTCTCTGATCGACTGCTTGTCAACTCACTTCATCCAGCTCCAATTCCAACTTCAACTTCGACTGTTTGTTTTCGCACAACACGCATTTAAATAAACGTGGTGGTAGCGACCCCCCAAAAAAACCCCCAAAAAACGGGGTGTTGGTAAACTTAGAATACAACCTGATTACTGACCAATCCCCTTTCATGATTAAATGAACAGTCTTTTCTCAATTGGTATTCCATAGTTGATATAAACACTATTGTTTTGACATTTTATATTAATAATTCTGACGAAGCACAGATTCTCTGGGCACAAACTTCACCACAGATTATTTTTCTCATCTATAAACAAAATTCTATATTACTATAATTATTGATATTTCAAGGGTGACTATTGCTCTCTGCCACAGACATACTGGCAATTTAACCTTGGTAGGTTCAATCTGATTGTCATATTTGACAACAATAGTTTGCTTTGTGATAATTTCAGATTATAACCAGCCCCCTGAAAACCTTATCTTTCGTTTATTGGATAATCATAATGCACTATAGTGGTGTGGGGATTAGGGATTAAAATGAACAGCTGATTTACCCACACCAAGAAGATTAATGAAGAATGAAAATGACGAGGAATCACACAGGTAACTTTAACAAAACAAGATAAAGAATTTATACAAGAATTTACACGATAAATAGTCGGTGTCTTATGAGATGCAAGTCATGCTTACTCTAGAATCTGCGCCAGGCAGTTGGCATGTGATTCCACCCAAATTAGTATCAGCATGTCCCTACTTGTTCAGTATGCCTCATAAATTTTCTTTCTCCAATGTAGCTCAGATTTGATGTCTTTAACTTTGATTTCCAATGCGACCATATTTTAGTCATGCACCTGTCGATAAGTATGTCGAACCCACAAGCTTTTTTGTATTCAAAGAAATGTGTAAGCAGACAAGATAATGAAGAGATAAAGGTGAATGTTTATATTTTACCCAAACGTCTGTTTTATTTCTTTAAAACGACGTGCGTTTTTTAATATACAGCGAAAACAGAAAAAGATTTGCTGGGTGAAATGTCAGGTTCGGGTAGACTGGACGCATAATATTTAGTGAAACCGAGGGATGGTAAGTTGATCGTCGGACGGTAAGGTAACAAAAGTGTGGTTGGACGTGTCGGCGACGGGAAGCTGAGGTGTGGTCGATCTGGTCGTGTCGACGGTCGGACTGGACATGTAGACGACGGGAAGCTGAGGTGTGGTCGATCTGGTCGTGTCGACGGTCAGACTGGACGTGTCGGCGACGGGAAGCTGAGGTGTGGTCGATCTGGTCGTGTCGACGATCGGACTGGACATGTCGACGACGGGAAGCTGAGGTGTGGTCGATCTGGTCGTGTCGACGGTCGGACTGGACATGTAGACGACGGGAAGCTGAGTTGTGGACGATCTGGTCGTGTCGACGGTCGGACTGGTCATGTCGACGACGGGAAGCTGAGGTGTGGTCGATCTGGTCGTGTCGACGGTCGGACTGGTCATGTCGACGACGGGAAGCTGAGGTGTGGTCGATCTGGTCGTGTCGACGATCGGACTGGACATGTCGACGAAGGGAAGCTGAGTTGTGGACGATCTGGTCGTGTCGACGGTCGGACTGGTCATGTCGACGACGGGAAGCTGAGGTGTGGTCGATCTGGTCGTGTCGACGGTCGGACTGGACATGTCGACGACGGGAAGCTGAGTTGTGGACGATCTGGTCGTGTCGACGGTCGAACTGGTCATGTCGACGGTCGACGACGGGAAGCTGAGGTGTGGTCGATCTGGTCGTGTCGACGGTCGGACTGGACATGGTCGACGACGGGAACGCTGAGGTGTGGCCGATCTGGTCGTGTCGATGGTCGGACTGGACATGTAGACGACGGGAAGCTGAGGTGTGGTCGATCTGGTCGTGTCGACGGTCGGACTGGACATGACGACGACGGGAAGCTGACGGTCGGACTGGACATGGACGATCTGGTCGTGTCGACGGTCGGACTGGTCATGTCGACGACGGGAAGCTGAGGTGTGGTCGATCTGGTCGTGTCGACGGTCGGACTGGTCATGTCGACGACGGGAAGCTGAGGTGTGGAGGATCTGGTCGTGTCGACGGTCGAACTGGACATGTAGACGACGGGAAGCTGAGGTGTGGTCGATCTGGTCGTGTCGACGGTCGGACTGGACATGTAGACGACGGGAAGCTGAGGTGTGGCCGATCTGGTCGTGTCGACGGTCGGACTGGACATGTAGACGACGGGAAGCTGAGGTGTGGTCGATCTGGTCGTGTCGACGGTCGGATTGGTCATGACGACGACGGGAAGCTGAGTTGTGGACGATCTGGTCGTGTCGATGGTCGGACTGGTCATGTCGACGACGGGAAGCTGAGGTGTGGAGGATCTGGTCGTGTCGACGGTCGGACTGGACATGTCGACGACGGGAAGCTGAGGTGTGGACGATCTGGTCGTGTCGATGGTCGGACTGGACATGTCGACGACGGGAAGCTGAGGTGTGGCCGATCTGGTCGTGTCGATGGTCGGACTGGACATGGCGACGGGAAGTCGACGGTCATCTGGGACGGGAGCTGAGTAGACGACGGGAACGACGGGAAGCTGAGTGGTCGATCTGGTCGTGTCGACGGTCGGACTGGTCATGACGACGACGGGAAGCTGAGTTGTGGACGATCTGGTCGTGTCGATGGTCGGACTGGTCGATCTGGTCGTGTCGACGACGGGAAGCTGAGGTGTGGTCGATCTGGTCGTGACGACGGTCATGGACGACAGGAAGCTGAGTTGTGGACGGTCGGACTGGTCATGGAAGCGACGACGTGTCGACGGTCGGACTGGTCAGCTGACGGTGAGTCGATCTGGTCGTGTCGACGGTCGGACTGGACATGTCGGCGACGGGAAGCTGAGGTGTGGTCGATCTGGTCGTGTCGACGGTCGGACTGGACATGTCGACGACGGGAAGCTGAGATGTGGTCGATCTGGTCGTGTCGACGGTCGGACTGGACATAGTCGACGACGGGTCGGAAGCTGAGTTGTGGTCGATCTGGTCGTGTCGACGGTCGGACTGGACATGTCGACGACGGGAAGCTGAGGTGTGGTCGATCTGGTCGTGTCGACGGTCGGACTGGACATGTCGACGACGGTAACGGTCGGACTGGTCATGTCGACGACGGTGAGGTGTGGTCGATCTGGTCGTGTCGACGGTCGGACTGGTCATGTCGACGACGGGAAGCTGAGGTGGACTGGTCGATCTGGTCGTGTCGACGGTCGGACTGGTCATGTCGACGACGGGAAGCTGAGGTGTGGTCGATCTCGTCGTGTCGACGGTCGGACTGGTCATGTCGACGACGGGAAGCTGAGGTGTGGTCGATCTGGTCGTGTCGACGGTCGGACTGGACATGTCGACGACGGGAAGCTGAGTGTGGACGATCTGGTCGTGTCGACGGTCGGACTGGACGTCGACGGAAGCTGAGGTGTGGTCGATCTGGTCGTGTCGACGGTCGGACTGGACATGTCGACGACGGAAGCTGAGGTCTGTGGTCGATCTGGTCGTGTCGACGGTCGGACTGGTCATGTCGACGACGGGAAGCTGAGGTGTGGTCGATCTGGTCGTGTCGACGGTCGGACTGGACATGTCGACGACGGGAAGCTGAGTTGTGGACGATCTGGTCGTGTCGACGGTCGGACTGGTCATGTCGACGACGGGAAGCTGAGGTGTGGACGATCTGGTCGTGTCGACGGTCGGACTGGACATGTAGACGACGGGAAGCTGAGGTGTGGACGATCTGGTCGTGTCGACGGTCGGACTGGACATGACGACGACGGGAAGTGTCGACTGGACTGGTGTGGTCGATCTGGTCGTGTCGACGGTCGGACTGGACATGTCGACGACGGGAAGCTGAGGTGTGTGTCGATCTGGTCGGACATGTCGACGACGACGGAGTGGTTGTGGTCGATCTGGTCGACGGTCGGACTGGTCATGTCGACGACGGGAAGCTGAGGTGTGGTCGATCTGGTCGTGTCGACGGTCGGACTGGTCATGTCGACGACGGGAAGCTGAGGTGTGGTCGATCTGGTCGTGTCGACGGTCGGACTGGACTGGACATGACGACTACGGAAGCTGAGGGTGTGGTCGATCTGGTCGACTGTCGACGGTCGGACTGGTCATGTCGACGACGAGAAGGAAGCTCTGGTCGTGTCGAGGTGTGGTCGATCTGGTCGTGTCGACGGTCGGACTGGTCATGTCGACGACGGGAAGCTGAGGTGTGGTCGATCTGGTCGTGTCGACGGTCGGACTGGACATGATCGACGACGGTCGGACTGGACTGACGGGAAGCTGAGGTGTGGTCGACGGTCTGGTCATGTCGACGGTCGGACTGGTCATGACGACGACTGGAACCTGAGGGTGGTCGATCTGGTCGTGTCGACGGTCGGACTGGACGAGTCTGGTCGGACGACGGGAAGCTGAGGTGTGGACGATCTGGTCGTGTCGACGGTCGGACTGGACATGTCGGCGACGGGAAGCTGAGTTGTGGACGATCTGGTCGTGTCGACGGTCGGACTGGACATGTCGACGACGGAAGCTGAGGTGATCTGGTCGATCTGGTCGTCGACGACGGTCGACTGGTCATGTCGACGACGGGAAGCTGATTGTGGACGATCTGGTCGTGTCGACGGTCGGACTGGACATGTCGACGACGGGAACGCTGAGGTGTGGACGATCTGGTCGTGTCGACGGTCGGACTGGACATGTCGACGACGGGAAGCTGAGGTGTGGACGATCTGGTCGTGTCGACGGTCGGACTGGACATGTCGACGACGGGAAGCTGAGGTGTGGTCGATCTGGTCGTGTCGACGGTCGGACTGGACATGTCGACGACGGAAGCTGAGGGTGGTCGATCTGGTCGTGTCGACGGTCGGACTGGACGTGTCGGCGACGGGTCGTGTCGCTGAGGTGTGGTCGATCTGGTCGTGTCGACGGTCGGACTGGTCATGTCGACGACGGGAAGCTGAGGTGTGGTCGATCTGGTCGTGTCGACGGTCGGACTGGTCATGTCGACGACGGGAAGCTGAGGTGTGGTCGATCTGGTCGTGTCGACGGTCGGACTGGTCACGACGGGAAGCTGAGGTCGACTGGTCGTGTCGACGGTCGGACTGGAAGCGACGAGGTGGGTGGTCGATCTGGTCGTGTCGACGGTCGGACTGGTCATGTAGAAGACGGGAAGCTGAGGTGTGGACGATCTGGTGGTGTCGACGGTCGGACTGTACATGTCGACGACGGGAAGCTGAGGGGTGGTCGATCTGGTCGTGTCGACGGTCGGACTGGACATGTCGACGACAGGAAGCTGAGGTGTGGTCGATCTGGTCGTGTCGACGGTCGGACTGGACATGTCGACGACGGAAGCTGATCTGGTCGTGTGGACGGTCGATCTGGTCGTGTCGACGACGACGGTCGGACGGTCGGACTGGTCATGGCGACGACGGAAGCTGAGGTGTGGACGATCTGGTCGTGTCGACGGTCGGACTGGTCGTGTCGACGACGGGAATATGAACGACTGACGACTGGAAGTCGACGGTCGAGGTGTCGACGACGTCGATCTGGTCGTGTCGACGGTCGGACTGGACATGTCGACGACGGGGAAGGAAGCTGGTCGAGGACGGTCGGACTGGACATTGATCTGGTCGTGTCGACGGTCGGACTGGACATGTCGACGACGGGAAGCTGAGTTGTGGACGATCTGGTCGTGTCGACGGTCGGACTGGACATGTCGACGACGGGAAGCTGAGGTGTGGACGATCTGGTCGTGTCGACGGTCGGACTGGTCACGACGACGGGTCGGATCTGGTCGTGTCGACGGTCGGACTGGACATGTCGACGACGGGAAGCTGAGGTGGACGATCTGGTCGTGTCGACGGTCGGACTGGACATGTCGACGACGGGAAGCTGAGGGGTGGTCGATCTGGTCGTGTCGACGGTCGGACTGGACATGTCGACGACGGGAAGCTGAGGTGTGGTCGATCTGGTCGTGTCGACGGTCGGACTGGACATGTCGACGACGGGAAGCTGAGGTGTGGTCGATCTGGTCGTGTCGACGGTCGGACTGGTCATGTCGACGACGGGAAGCTGAGGTGTGGTCGATCTGGTCGTGTCGACGGTCGGACTGGACATGTCGACGACGGGAAGCTGAGGTGTGGTCGATCTGGTCGTGTCGACGGTCGGACTGGTCATGTCGACGACGACGGGTCGACGACGGGAAGCTCTGGACGATCTGGTCGTGTCGACGGTCGGACTGGTCATGACGGAAGCTGAGGTGTGGACGATCTGGTCGTGTCGACGGTCGGACTGGTCATGTCGACGACGGGAAGCTGAGGTGTGGTCGATCTGGTCGTGTCGACGGTCGGACTGGTCATGTCGACGACGGGAAGCTGAGGTGTGGTCGATCTGGTCGTGTCGACGGTCGGACTGGTCATGTCGACGACGGGAAGCTGAGGTGTGGTCGATCTGGTCGTGTCGACGGTCGGACTGGTCATGTCGACGACGGAAGCTGAGGTGTGGTCGATCTGGTCGTGTCGACGGTCGGACTGGTCATGTCGACGACGGGAAGCTGAGGTGTGGTCGATCTGGTCGTGTCGACGGTCGGACTGGACATGTCGACGACGCGAAGCTGAGGTGTGGTCGATCTGGTCGTGTCGACGGTCGGACTGGTCATGTCGACGACGGGAAGCTGAGGTGTGGTCGATCTGGTCGTGTCGACGGTCGGACTGGACACGAGTCGACGACGGAAGCTGAGGTGGACGATTCGACGATCTGGTCGTGTCGACGGTCGGACTGGACATGTCGACGACGGGAAGCTGAGGACGATCTGGTCGTCGACGGTCGGGACATGTCGACGACGGGAAGCTGACTGGTCGTGTCGACGGTCGGACGACATGGACGACGGAAGCTGAGGTGTGGTCGATCTGGTCGTGTCGACGGTCGGACTGGACGTGTCGACGACGGGAAGCTGAGGTGTGGTCGATCTGGTCGTGTCGACGGTCGGACTGGACATGTCGACGACGGGAAGCTGAGGTGTGGTCGATCTGGTCGTGTCGACGGTCGGACTGGACATGTCGGCGACGGGAAGCTGAGGTGTGGACGATCTGGTCGTGTCGACGGTCGGACTGGACATGTCGACGACGGGAAGCTGAGTTGTGGACGATCTGGTCGTGTCGACGGTCGGACTGGACGACGACGGAAGCTGAGGTGTCGATCTGGTCGACGGGAAGCTGAGGTGTGGACGATCTGGTCGTGTCGACGGTCGGACTGGACATGACGACGACGGAAGCTGAGTTGTGGTCGATCTGGTCGTGTCGACGGTCGGACTGGACGCGTCGACGACGGAAGCTGAGGTGTGGACGATCTGGTCGTGTCGACGGTCGGACTGACGGACGTCGACGACGGGAAGCTGAGGTGTGGTCGATCTGGTCGTGTCGACGGTCGGACTGGACATGTCGACGACGGGAAGCTGAGGTGGTCGATCTGGTCGTGTCGACGGTCGGACGGAAGAGGTGTAGGCTGACGGTCGACGGTCGGACTGGACATGTCGACGACGGGAAGGAGGTGGACGATCTGGTCGTGTCGATCTGGTGTCGACGTGTCGACGGTCGGACTGGTCATGTCGACGACGGGAAGCTGAGGTGTGGTCGATCTGGTCGTGTCGACGGTCGGACTGGACGTGTCGACGACGGAAGCTGAGGTGTGGTTGATCTGGTCGTGTCGACGGTCGGACTGGACATGTCGACGACGGGAAGCTGAGGTGTGGACGATCTGGTCGTGTCGACGGTCGGACTGGTCATGTCGACGACGGGAAGCTGAGGGGTGGACGATCTGGTCGTGTCGACGGTCGGACTGGTCATGTCGACGACGGGAAGCTGAGGGTGGACGATCTGGTCGTGTCGACGGTCGTTACTGGTCACTGTCGACGACGGGGAAGCTGGGTTATGGACGATCTGGTCGTGTCGACGGTCGGACTGGTCATGTCGACGACGGGAAGCTGAGGGTCGATCTGGTCGTGTCGACGGTCGGACTGGACGATGTCGACGACGGAAGCTGAGGTGTGGTCGATCTGGTCGGACTGTCGACGGTCGGACTGGTCACGGTCGTCGACGACGGGAAGCTGAGGTGTGGTCGATCTGGTCGTGTCGACGGTCGGACTGGACATATCGACGACGGGAAGCTGAGTTGTGGACGATCTGGTCGTGTCGACGGTCGGACTGGTCATGTCGACGACGGGAAGCTGAGGTGTGGACGATCTGGTCGTGTCGACGGTCGGACTGGACGTGTCGGCGACAGGAAGCTGAGGTGTGGTCGATCTGGTCGTGTCGACGGTCGGACTGGACATCTCGACGTCGACGGGGAAGCTGTGGGAAGTGTGGTCGATCTGGTCGTGTCGACGGTCGGACTGGTCATGACGACGACGGGAACCTGACGGGTGGTCGATCAGGTCGTGTCGACGGTCGGACTGGACTGGACGTCGGCGACGGGAAGCTGAGGTGTGGACGATCTGGTCGTGTCGACGGTCGGACTGGACGTGACGACGACGGGAATCTGAGGGGGTGGTCGACGGTCGATCTGTCGACGACGGAAGCTGTCGACGGTCGGACTGGACATGTCGACGACGGGAAGCTGAGGTGTGGTCGATCTGGTCGTGTCGACGGTCGGACTGGTCATGTCGACGACGGGAAGCTGAGGTGTGGACGATCTGGTCGTGACGGTCGGACTGGACATGTCGACGACGGGAAGCTGAGGTGTGGTCGATCTGGTCGACGGTCGGACTGGACATGTCGACGACGGGAAGCTGAGGTGTGGTCGATCTGGTCGTGTCGACGGTCGGACTGGTCTGGTCGTCGACGACGGGAAGCTGAGGTGGTCGATCTGGTCGTGTCGACGGTCGGACTGGACGTGTCGACGACGGGAAGCTGAGGTGGTGATCTGGTCGTGTCGACGGTCGGACTGGACATGTCGACGACGGGAAGCTGAGGTGTGGACGATCTGGTCGTGTCGACGGTCGGACTGGACATGTCGACGACGGGAAGCTGAGGTGTGGTCGATCTGGTCGTGTCGACGGTCGGACTGGACATGTCGACGACGGGTCGTGTCGACGGTCGGATGCTGAGTTGTGGACGATCTGGTCGTGTCGACGGTCGGACTGGTCCGCGTCGACGACGGGAAGCTGAGGTGTGGTCGATCTGGTCGTGTCGACGGTCGGACTGGACATGTCGACGACAGGAAGCTGAGGTGTGGTCGATCTGGTCGTGTCGACGGTCGGACTGGACATGTCGACGACGGGAAGCTGAGGTGTGGTCGATCTGGTCGTGTCGACGGTCGGACTGGACATGTCGACGACGGGAAGCTGAGGTGTGGACGATCTGGTCGTGTCGACGGTCGGACTGGACATGTCGACGACGGGAAGCTGAGTTGTGGACGATCTGGTCGTCGACGGTCGACGGTCGGACTGGACTGATCGACGACGGAAGGGACGATCTGGTCGTGTCGACGGTCGGACTGGACGAGTCGACGACGGGAAGCTGAGGTGGGTCGATCTGGTCGTGTCGACGGTCGGACTGGACATGTCGACGACGGGAAGCTGAGGTGTGGTTGATCTGGTCGTGTCGACGGTCGGACTGGACATGTCGACGACGGGAAGCTGAGTTGTGGACGATCTGGTCGTGTCGACGGTCGGACTGGTCATGTCGACGACGGAAGCTGAGGTGTGGACGATCCGGTCGTGTCGACGGTCGGACTGGACATGTAGACGACGGAAGCTGAGGTGTGGACGATCTGGTCGTGTCGACGGTCGTTACTGGACATGACGACGACGGGAAGCTGAGTTGTGGACGATCTGGTCGTGTCGACAGTCGGACTGGTCATGTCGACGACGGGAAGCTGAGGTGTGGTCGATCTGGTCGTGTCGACGGTCGGACTGGACGAGTCGACGACGGGAAGCTGAGGTGGTCGATCTGGTCGTGTCGACGGTCGGACTGGTCAGGTCGACGACGGGAAGCTGAGGTGTGGTCGATCTGGTCGTGTCGACGGTCGGACTGGACATATCGACGACGGGAAGCTGAGTTGTGGACGATCTGGTCGTGTCGACGGTCGGACTGGACATGTCGACGACGCGAAGCTGAGGTGTGGACGATCTGGTCGTGTCGACGGTCGGACTGGACTGGACATGTCGACGACGGAAGCTGAGGTGTGGACGATCTGGTCGTGTCGACGGTCGGACTGGACATGTCGACGACGGGAAGCTGAGGTGTGGTCGATCTGGTCGTGTCGACGGTCGGACTGGACATGACGACGATCTGGAACCTGACGGTGGTCGATCTGGTCGTGTCGACGGTCGGACTGGACATGTCGGCGACGGGAAGCTGAGGTGTGGACGATCTGGTCTTGTCGACGGTCGGACTGGACATGACGACGACGGGAATCTGAGGGGTGGTCGATCTGGTCGTGTCGACTGTCGACGGTCGGACTGGACGATCTGGTCGACGACGGGGAAGTCGACGACTGAGGTGTGTCGATCTGGTCGTGTCGACGGTTGGACTGGTCATGTCGACGACGGGAAGCTGAGGGGATCTGGTCGGTCGACGGTCGGACTGGTCGACGACGACGGTGTGGTCGATCTGGACGTGTCGACGGTCGGACTGGTCGGCGACGGGAAGCTGAAGTGTGTCGATCTGGTCGTGTCGACGGTCGGACTGGTGGTCGTGTCGTCGACGACGGGAAGCTGAGGTGTGGTCGATCTGGTCGTGTCGACGGTCGGACTGGACGTGTCGGCGACGGGAAGCTGAGGTGTGGTTGATCTGGTCGTGTCGACGGTCGGACTGGACATGTCGACGACGGGAAGCTGAGGTGTGGTCGATCTGGTCGTGTCGACGGTCGGACTGGACATGTCGACGACGGGATGCTGAGTTATGGACGATCTGGTCGTGTCGACGGTCGAACTGGACTGATGTCGACGACGGGAAGCTGAGGTGTGGTCGATCTGGTCGTGTCGACGGTCGGACTGGTCATGTCTACGACGGGTAGCTGAGGTGTGGTCGATCTGGTCGTGTCGACGGTCGGACTGGACATGTCGACGACGGGAAGCTGAGTTGTGGACGATCTGGTCGTGTCGACGGTCGGACTGGTCATGTCGACGACGGGAAGCTGAGGTGTGGACGATCTGGTCGTGTCGACGGTCCGACTGGACATGTAGACGACGGGAAGCTGAGGTGTGGACGATCTGGTCGTGTCGACGTTCGGACTGGTCATGACGACGACGGGAAGCTGAGGTGTGGTCGATCTGGTCGTGTCGACGGTCGGACTGGCCGTGTCGGCGACGGGAAGCTGAGGTGTGGTCGATCTGGTCGTGTCGACGGTCGGACTGGTCATGTCAACGACGGGAAGCTGAGGTGTGGTCGATCTGATCGTGTCGACGGTCGGACTGGTCATGTCGACGACGGGAAGCTGAGGTGTTGTCGATCTGGTCGTGTCGACGGCCGGACTGGACATGACGACTACGGGAAGCTGAGGTGTGGTCGATCTGGTCGTGTCGACGGTCGGACTGGTCATGTCGACGACGAGAAGCTGAGGTGTGGTCGATCTGGTCGTGTCGACGGTCGGACTGGACATGTCGACGACGGGAAGCTGAGGTGTGGTCGATCTGGTCGTGTCGACGGTCGGACTGGACATGTCGACGGTCGGACTGGACATGTCGGCGACGGGAAGCTGAGGTGTGGTCGATCTGGTCGTGTCGACGGTCCGACTGGTCATGTCGACGACGGGAAGCTGAGGTGTGGTCGATCTGGTCGTTTCGACGGTCGGACTGGACATGTCGACGACGGGAAGCTGAGGTGTGGACGATCTGGTCGTGTCGACGGTTGGACTGGACATGACGACGACGGGAAGCTGAGGTGTGGTCGATCTGGTCGTGCCGACGGTCGGACTGGACGTGTCGGCGACGGGAAGCTGATGTGGGTCGATCTGGTCGTGTCGACGGTCGGACTGGTCATGTCGACGACGGGAAGCTGAGGTGTGGTCGATCTGGTCGTGTCGACGGTCGGACTGGTCATGTCGACGACGCGAAGCTGAGGTGTGGTCGATCTGGTCGTGTCGACGGTCGGACTGGACATGTCGACGACAGGGAAGCTGAGGTGTGGTTGATCTGGTCGTGTCGACGGTCGGACTGGACATGTCGACGACGGGAAGCTGAGTTGTGGACGATCTGGTCGTGTCGACGGTCGGACTGGACGAGTCGTCGACGGGAAGATGAGGTGTGGACGATCTGGTCTTGTCGACGGTCGGACTGGACATGACGACGACGGGAAGCTGAGGGGTGGTCGATCTGCTCCTGTCGACGGTCGGACTGGACGTGTCGACGACGGGAAGCTGAGGTGTGGTCGATCTGGTCGTGTCGACGGTCGGACTGGTCATGTCGACGACGGGAAGCTGAGGGGTGGTCGATCTGGTCGTGTCGACGGTCGGACTGGACGTGTCGGCGACGGGAAGCTGAGTTGTGGACGATCTGGTTGTGTCGACGGTCGGACTGGACATGACGACGACGGGAAGCTGAGGTGTGGACGATCTGGTCGTGTCGACGGTCGGACTGGACGTGTCGGCGACGGGAAGCTGAGGTGTGGTCGATCTGGTCGTGTCGACGGTCGGACTGGACATGTCGGCGACGGGAAGCTGAGGGGTGGTCGATCTGGTCGTGTCGACGGTCGGACTGGACATGTAGACGTCGGGAAGCTGAGGTGTGGTCGATCTGGTGGTGTCGACGGTCGGACTGTACATGACGACGACGGGAACCTGACGGGTGGTCGATCAGCTCGTGTCGACGGTCGGACTGGACGAGTCGGCGACGGGAAGCTGAGGTGTGGACGATCTGGTCTTGTCGACGGTCGGACTGGACATGACGACGACGGGAATCTGAGGGGTGGTCGATCTGCTCCTGTCGACGGTCGGACTGGACGTGTCGACGACGGGAAGCTGAGGTGTGGTCGATCTGGTCGTGTCGACGGTTGGACTGGTCATGTCGACGACGGGAAGCTGAGGGGTGGTCGATAGGGTCGTGTCGACGGTCGGACTGGACGTGTCGGCGACGGGAAGCTGAAGTGTGGTAGATCTGGTCGTGTCGATGGTCGGACTGGTCATGTCGACGACGGGAAGCTGAGGTGTGGTCGATCTGGTTGTGTCGACGGTCGGACTGGACGTGTCGGCGACGGGAAGCTGAGGTGTGGTTGATCTGGTCGTGTCGACGGTCGGACTGGACATGTCGACGACGGGAAGCTGAGTTGTGGACGATCTCGTCGTGTCGACGGTCGGACTGGTCATGTCGACGACGGGAAGCTGAGGTGTGGACGATCCGGTCGTGTCGACGGTCGGACTGGACATGTAGACGACGTGAAGCTGAGGTGTGGACGATCTCGTCGTGTCGACGGTCGTTACTGGACATGACGACGACGGGAAGCTGAGTTGTGGACGATCTGGTCGTGTCGACAGTCGGACTGGTCATGTCGACGACGGGAAGCTGAGGTGTGGTCGATCTGGTCGTGTCCACGGTCGGACTGGACGAGTCGGCGACGGGAAGCTGAGGTGTGGTCGATCTGGTCGTGTCGACGGTCGGACTGGTCAGGTCGACGACGGGAAGCTGAGGTGTGGTCGATCTGGTCGTGTCGACGGTCGGACTGGACATGTCGACGACGGGAAGCTGAGTTGTAGATGATCTGGTCGTGTCGACGGTCGGACTGGACATGTAGACGACGGGAAGCTGAGGTGTGGACGATCTGGTCGTGTCAACGGTCGGACTGGACATGACGACGACGGGAAGCTGAGGGGTGGTCGATCTGGTCGTGTCGACGGTCGGACTAGTCATGTCGACGACGGGAAGCTGAGGTGTGGTCGATCTGGTCGTGTCGACGGTCGGACTGGTCATGTCGACGACGGGTAGCTGAGGTGTGGTCGATCTGGTCGTGTCGACGGTCGGACTGGACATGTCGACGACGGGAAGCTGAGTTGTGGACGATCTGGTCGTGTCGACGGTCGGACTGGTCATGTCGACGACGGGAAGCTGAGGTGTGGACGATCTGGTCGTGTCGACGGTCCGACTGGACATGTAGACGACGGGAAGCTGAGGTGTGGACGATCTGGTCGTGTCGACGGTCGGACTGGACATGACGACTACGGGAAGCTGAGGTGTGGTCGATCTGGTCGTGTCGACGGTCGGACTGGCCGTGTCGGCGACGGGAAGCTGAGGTGTGGTCGATCTGGTCGTGTCGACGGTCGGACTGGTCATGTCAACGACGGGAAGCTGAGATGTGGTCGATCTGATCGTGTCGACGGTCGGACTGGTCATGTCGACGACGGGAAGCTGAGGTGTTGTCGATCTGGTCGTGTCGACGGCCGGACTGGACATGACGACGACGGGAAGCTGAGGTGTGGTCGATCTGGTCGTGTCGACGGTCGGACTGGTCATGTCGACGACGAGAAGCTGAGGTGTGGTCGATCTGGTCGTGTCGACGGTCGGACTGGACATGTCGACGACGGGAAGCTGAGGTGGTCGATCTGGTCGTGTCGACGGTCGGACTGGACATGTCGACGGTCGGACTGGACATGTCGGCGACGGGAAGCTGAGGTGGTCGATCTGGTCGTGTCGACGGTCCGACTGGTCATGTCTACGACGGGAAGCTGAGGTGGGTCGATCTGGTCGTTTCGACGGTCGGACTGGACATGTTGACGACGGGAAGCTGAGGTGTGGACGATCTGGTCGTGACGACGGTCGGACTGGACATGACGACGACGGGAAGCTGAGGGTGGTCGATCTGGTCGTGCCGACGGTCGGACTGGACGTGTCGGCGACGGAAGCTGAGGTGTGGTCGATCTGGTCGTGTCGACGGTCGGACTGGTCATGTCGACGACGGGAAGCTGAGGTGTGTCGATCTGGTTGTGTCGACGGTCGGACTGGTCATGTCGACGACGCGAAGCTGAGGTGTGGTCGATCTGGTCGTGTCGACGGTTGGACTGGACATGTCGACGACAGGAAGCTGACGTGTGGTCGATCTGGTGGTGTCGTCGGTCGGACTGTACATGACGACGACGGGAACCTGAGGGTGGTCGATCAGCTCGTGTCGACGGTCGGACTGGACGAGTCGGCGACGGGAAGCTGAGGTGTGGACGATCTGGTCTTGTCGACGGTCGGACTGGACATGACGACGACGGGAAGCTGAGGGTGGTCGATCTGCTCCTGTCGACGGTCGGACTGGACGTGTCGACGACGGGAAGCTGAGGTGTGGTCGATCTGGTCGTGTCGACGGTCGGGCTGGTCATTTTCGACGACGGGAAGCTGAGGGTGGTCGATCTGGTCGTGTCGACGGTCGGACTGGACGTGTCGGCGACGGGAAGCTGAAGTGTGGTAGATCTGGTCGTGTCGATGGTCGGACTGGTCATGTCGACGACGGGAAGCTGAGGTGTGGTCGATCTGGTTGTGTCGACGGTCGGACTGGACGTGTCGGCGACGGGAAGCTGAGGTGTGGTAGATCTGGTCGTGTCGACGGTCGGACTGGACATGTCGACGACGGGAAGCTGAGTTGTGGACGATCTGGTCGTGTCGACTGTCGGACTGGTCATGTCGACGACGGAAGCTGAGGTGTGGACGATCCGGTCGTGTCGACGGTCGGACTGGACATGTAGACGACGGGAAGCTGAGGTGTGGACGATCTCGTCGTGTTGACGGTCGTTACTGGACATGACGACGACGGGAAGCTGAGTTGTGGACGATCTGGTCGTGTCGACAGTCGGACTGGTCGTGTCGACGACGGGAAGCTGAGGTGTGGTCGATCTGGTCGTGTCCACGGTCGGACTGGACGAGTCGGCGACGGGAAGCTGAGGTGTGGTCGATCTGGTTGTGTCGACGGTCGGACTGGTCATGTCGACGACAGGAAGCTGAGGTGCAGTCGATCTGGTCGTGTCGACGGTCGGACTGGACATGTCGACGACGGGAAGCTGAGGTATGGTCGATCTGGTCGTGTCGACGGTCGGACTGGACGAGTCGGCGACGGGAAGCTGAGGTGTGGTCGATCTGGTCGTCTCGACGGTCGGACTGGTCATGTCGACGACGGGAAGCTGAGGTGTGGTCGATCTGGTCGTGTCGACGGTCGGACTGGACATGTCGACGACGAGAAGCTGAGGTGTGGACGATCTGGTCGTGTCGACGGTCGGACTGGACATGACGACGACGGGAAGCTGAGTGGTGGTCGATCTGGTCGTGCCGACGGTTGGACTGGACGTGTCGGCGACGGGAAGCTGAGATGTGGTCGATCTGGTCGTGTCGACGGTCGGACTGGTCATGTCGACGACGGGAAGCTGAGGTGTGGTCGATCTGGTCGTGTCGACTGTCGGACTGGTCATGTCGACGACGGGAAGCTGAGGTGTGGACTATCTGGTCGTGTCGATGGTCGGACTGGTCATGTCGACGACGGGAAGCTGAGGTGTGGTCGATCTGATCGTGTCGACGTCCGGACTGAACATGTAGACGACGGAACCTGTGGTTGATCTCGTCGTGTCGACAAATGTTGTCGAATGCTGATTAACACACTCTTATCAAATATACTTAATGGTATGTTTCTGACTCAATATATATATATATATATAGTTTTTTAATTGTTAATTTATTGCTGGTTCTATAGGAATAAAAGATTTAAAATATTCAAGGTCGTCCTGTTTGTATTGTTTGGGAGCGGTACATCTTTTTTCCCCCAACTGTTATACATTTTAGTTTTGCTGTTCTACATTTTCTTTAATGACGTAAATTTTTGTGGTTTATGCCAAGTGCATGATCAAAAGTTAGTAATGTCTACACTGACAAATATGTAAGAGTTTCCATTGTAACCCTTTTTTAGTATATATCAGGATCGAAGGCCTTTTTTTTTTTTTTAGTGTCACACTCAAATTGGCATCGGTAGATTTCACCAATTTGAGGAGGATTTCTACTACCATAGAGCGAATAAATCCGACGCAGCAATGGACATCAATTGAAATAAACTGAAATGATTGTAAAAATTATCGACAAAACGTAAATCGCAATAATGAAATTTTTATTCACAAAGATTGTAGTGGGCCGTGGCTGTTATGTTGGTGGTTACGGTTTGTTGAGAGAAGTCAGACGTGGACGAAACGCCTGTATGGTTCAGATACTCCTGCTCGCCGGGCCCAACTACATAAAAATGTTGGACTTTGATTAAGTCCAAAGAAGAAGGAAAAGAAAGCAAACAACACAAGACCGATAATATATGTATACACAACAAATATATATTCATAACAAGTTACAATACAGGGAAACAGTACGAAGGACAAAGTGTGTGTGAATATTCTGTATGTGCGTGCGTGTGTGAATATTCTGTGTGTGCGTGCGTGTGTGCACGCTATCCTTTGTTAGCGACTTCATTTCGAGGTTGATAGTTAGAGTCCTCTAGGAAGCAGAGAAATTTACCTCGGGGCGTTAGTGCCCAGGCTTGAAAGGGAAAAAGAGGTCGAGCCGAAGGGTCATTGGCTATTTATAGCCAGGAAAGAGAGACCTCTGGTGAAAGGGTTACGAACTTGAAGGAGGAGGTAACTCCGACAGGATAAACAAAATGGCAATTTATGGCGATGACATAATCCAGTTTCAAAATTGTACTCTTTACATTTTATTGTTTAATTTAGTTGTAGACAGTAATGTGTGGATATTTGCATATTTCTCCGGATACCTATATATAAATATGGGCATCTATGTGAATAAGTAATTTCAAAGTATCGAAAAGAATAATAATTTAAACAGTGTTTTTGTAAATTTGTAAGCATTTAAAAGTTTTCACGACAAAGCGTGACGAAAATTGGAGCGTAATAAGTAATTTCAGTGATCGGTTTTGAACAGATGTTACATCTGTTATCTTCTAGCCGTTGAAATTTTGAATGAAATCTGAGTTTATATATGAATTGATTTGTTCGACTGTTCACTGACTGGCCAAATGTATCTGTAAAGTAAAACAACGTAAAAATTATTCCTAAAGTGGTAGTTTCTTCATTGAGCTTGAATTGTAAAATGTCATAGTAAAAAGATAGGTACTTTAAGGATTTTTCCAGTTGCCTTATGATGAAATTACTATTGTTTCAGTTATTTCTGATATTACATTTACGTGCATTGGCAATCGTACTTGGTGGATTAAATCGAAATAAACGTGCCACAATTCACTTTAGTAACGATATCCCATTTAGCAGCGTACTATATCTTTTCATTCTTTCATGACGACTTTCCCGCCTCTTTTTCCCGCACATTTGAAGTACGTCGATTTTCTTTTCCAGATTCTGTTGCCTAAACTTAGTTAAATTTGGCACAAGTCCACAATTAGTAATAGTCAATTAGACTAGTGTAACAAGAAGAGTAGAAGCCATCTTCTGGTTGATATCCCCAACGAAACTTTGGGTATAAGAAAATGTTTATTTTCTGTTACGAGGTTAGGGAGACAGACGGAACATGCTGGAATTTATTAACGCATGCATAGACGAATAAAAGAAAAGTGCCTGTTCAGAAGATCGAGTAGCGCCAATAAAATGTTTGAGTAGGCAGCGTCCGCTAGGTTCTAACCTGGATTTAAACAATAATCAATGAAGTAAGCTAACTATATTTCCAATCTTCTCTTAAAACCACCTGAGAAAGTAATAAAAATGACAGATTCTTACCATTTGCCTCAGCAAGCCCCAGATAAATCTAACCGAAAGAAAATCTGTAATTTAAATATCTATACAAAATACTAATAGCCTCGAACATGTGAATTGGTAGAAGGTCAATGATCCATAAATGGGTTGCAGGATGCAAATTGGGTTATCCTAGTTCTGAGTCAGGCTGGTTTGTATTTACAACAACTTAATACGACGATAAGTCGGCATAGAAACACGAACCCAGATCGGGGACGGGCGAAGAAATAAGAATTGTTTTAACATTTCAGTAGAAGCGATCAAGCATTTAGCAGTTGAAGTTGGCAACCAGTTAGAGAGAAGAGACGTTCCCAAATGTAGCCAGAAACAGTAAGTTACGTAGCAAGAAGAGTCAGTACATAGTTGGACATAGCGAGATGAACGTAGGGTCTGAGACAGAGAAACCGTGGAAAAAGAGTGTGTTAATTTGGATCCAATGATTTCACTTGTCCATCATTCATCGCCATATAGGAAGATTGTTTATCTGTTAGGTTATATCAATCCGTCAATATGACACTGAATGTTGGACAATTTCCTCACAGATGAGCAGACGACTGGAGGAACCGGAGATGTAGTTCCACAGAAAAATATTGAGAATACCATGGGCGGAACATGTGAGCAACGAGGAAAATAAGAGTGAAAAGGACACTTTTTGCCTAAGATCAGAAAGAGGAAATCTCTATGAGACATAATGAGGAAAGAGGGCTTGGAGAATCTGGCACTCGTAGCAGATATGGAAGCAAGAGGTGCAGAGGCAACAGTGAATAACACGCCTAACAAGTTTGCGTAAATGGATAACAGAACATGAACAAAGATGGATAGTAAAGAGCCAAACACTGTTTAGTACTACAATGGATAGGAAGTCGTGGAGAGCCATGATCGGTCACGGAGATCAAGATAAAGGCAACCCACTCTCGTGTCTGTCTGATCAGAGACAGTTGTTCTGAAAGTGTCATTCTTTAAAGCAGGAGTTATCAACCAAGAGGTATTTGCTTTCTAATGGTGGTGGGTGGGGTCATGGAAGAGGAAAAATCTTTTACTTTTTCTTGTTTTTTATTTACAGAATTCGGAGTTCATCATGGATTTCAAAAATCTCCACCATAAAAATAATCCATATAAATATATATGTACTAATGTGACGATGTGAAACATTTTTAATCAAAGACGTATTCACTTAGCGTAGATTTGTTTAGACAACCTGGATTTTTTTAATTGACTGACCACCCACCTGTTGCAAAGGTTCGTATTCATATTTTTTAGATGGATACAAATTCGAGTTTATTGAAACAAATATAGTAAAGCGGTTGGTTGGAAATTTTAATACCCTGTGATTTATCTTCTACTTTGTCAAATTTATCACGTATGCAAATTTCTTATTTATTTAACTGGCTTTTCCTGATGCTTGTCGTCTTTACATATATTCACTGATCCTGGTTTTGTTGGACATATATCTAGAATCATTATATGTTATTTGAATTGTGAAATTTTAATATTTCTACAAACAAGATTACATATAACACAAAAATAACAGCATATATGAAACTGATATTTTGTTAAATCTTTTACTGTCATTATTCTCATTGTTATTATGTTTTCACACGTGAATCTTAAGATAATATTTTTCAATTGTTATTGTCGTTTCATGCGCTTAAAAGTTTTTTTTTCCCCGTGGAGAGAGTGGGGGAAGAGAGAACTTCACCTCGTTTATCCTGAATATTGAATAAGGTTCATACGAAAACAAACAAGACACGAAACTCGCATGTGAAATTTGAAAGAAACAAACATTTATTACAATGACATAAAAAACAATAGAGCAGAATATATGGTTTACAAATAAGGTTGCACAGAATTTTTCTTTTGTACACATTATTAAGGCAAGATAACCAGTTCAAAAATTAAATATGGTTCATACATGCAGATATAAATTATTCAACAAAACTTTCAACAATCGAAAAATATTTTGACAAGGTACAATACAATTCCTTTCAAAAATTTTCTAACAACAGATATTCTTTGAAAAAAAAGAAACAGTTATTTGAAAGTCAAAATTGAGAATGTTGGCAGATTGACTAGAGTCGCTGGGACTTTAACAAATTTGTTCTTTTTTAAGATAGTTCAATTATTATTATTTTAAGAAATTTTTGACTTTTCTGATTTCAATTAGCTTCGGCTTCTTTTTCTGTTTCTTTCTTCGTTTGCTTCTTACTTCTTCCGCAAGAAATAGCCTGGCTCACCCGCTAATGACAGCCAAAATTATTTGATATGTAATCTCTTGTAGAAAGAGTGTTAAAGGGTAGGATTATGAATTTTGTGCACTTGTAACAACAGCACAAAATTCATTATCTTATCTTCTAACATTTTTTCTACAAAACTTGTAAAGAAATTAGTTGTCCTTAATACTAGTGTTGGGGATGTGCAGAATTTATTAATTATGCTTGAAAGAATCAGAAGGAATTTGTGTAGGTTGCGTGACTTTCTGCATCCACAACAAATAAATAAACGAAATTTAAAATACGATTAAGAACAAGACATATTCAATTAGAAACTAATAAAACATTTATATACAATTCGAAACAATATACAAGCAGGATAATTGGTATATGTTATGTTGGCAAAATGTGTATGATGTTTTAGATTTCAGAATGTCTCTCTTTGTAATCGTTCGTTCATTTGCA